ATTTGTGTGGATTAACCAGCAGATTTCCCCCGTGTGATAACGTCCCTTTAGTCTACAAAGTGAAAAAGAAGTCTAAACAAGTCTTCTGTCACTTCTTTTGTTGGTACAGAATTTTCTGTTTCTCCAGAGATGTGTGACAGAGACGAGAGACAGCTATGTCCAGATGGTGGTGGGGTCTCTGCTTCAATATATTTCTCCCCAATTCTTGGCACCTGAGCAGTTACCATTATATACACCTGGAGGTTGAGTGGGAAAGGCTAGTTATCGAAGAGCATTTTGCATCCTCAATCGGCCTTGGTGGGTTTGGTCATGGTCTTTCAGTTGGGTCTGAACAAAGATCTTAGTACCAAAACTCTCAAGAGATATGTTTGTCTCTTTTCAAGAGGCTGATAGGTATCTTCTGCCACCTCGTCTCATTGGCTGAAACTATGCACTGAATTAGCTTATTATAGTCACTAGTTCTTTACCAGTTCCAGCAAGGATTCAGGCACATTCCACTCATAGTGTTGCTACTTCTGCAGCCTTGAGTACAGCAGCTTCTCTGCTAGAGATCTGTAGGGCAGCCACTTGGGCTTCCCTATCATCTTTTGTCAGATGCTATCAGATAGACAAGTTTTCTTCTGCGGACATGTCCTTTGGAAAGCATGTTCTGCAACAGGTTGTGTCATTGTGATTTGGAAGTTGCCCACCCAGGTAGTTAAGTGACTGCTTCTTTAGGTCCCAGCATGAAGGATTGCCTTCCCTCACTCCAGGAAAATGGACACTGGTACGCACTACGAAGGTCTCTTTTCTGAAGCTGTGGGGAGGGAATCCTACTCACCCTGGTTGGTGAAGTTTTGTTTTGTTTCTGGCCATTGGTGACATGTTTTTTGTCAGAGCTGTCATTATAGCATCACTGGGAAGGTGGGACTAGACCAGGGGTAGGCAACCTTTCCCCTTTAAGGGCCGAGGGACTTCAGCTCCCAGAATCCCAGGAGCTATTGGCCAACATGGGACTATTGGCCAACATGGCTGAGGCTTCTGGGAGCTGAAGTCCCTCGGCCCTTAAAGGGGAAAGGTTGCCTACCCCTGGACTAGACCTCCCTTTTAGGGTGGTAAGGTTGATTAACAGGTTGAAGCCCTTCCTGTGAAACACAAGGGGGGAGCCAGAGAAAGCATGAATGATTTCCTCCCCACAACTGCAGAAAAAGGAACCTTCACAGTGAGTTCCAATGTTCCATTCTCATAGCCACTGAGTTGGAAGACAGGCCATACCTGCACACTTCAGTTCCCTTTGTTTGCTTCTGCCCTATGTAATGCTCACAAATCCCTTTTCCATGACCTCACCTGGAGGAGTGGGCACCCCATCTTAGGGAACCCATAGCCAGGATCTTGAACCAGGATCTTGAATATCAAACATGGGACAATTTGTGTACAATTAGATGCTTAGGGGCCCAGTTATATCATTTATTGCGAGGGGATGGTGGACTCCATCAGCTAAAGGACAGTGATGATTCTCTGCTATACACAGCCAATGGCATAATTTACCACTAATAAAGCTTATTTCATAGTAGTGAAGTATGTTAGTTTTCAGTACCAGGTAAAGTCTTGGGAAGACCTGGAATTCCAAACAGTTCCAGCTCAGAACAACACTTTGGTCATCAGTGTTTGCCTCCTAAAAGTAAACCATAAGTGGTAGTCCTACAGCTAATTCTCAGTATTTTAACTACAGGTAATTAAAACATCCATATATCTGTGAGATGGTAAAGCATTTGAGAATTGTAAGCCTCAAGATCTGATCCAGTGTTCAATGGTGTCAACCATTTTTACCTTTATCCATAGAGCCCAGTCTACCTTGTTATTATCTTTGGGTCTCAGTATTTAAGGTTCTTAGTTTTTAAGCTTTTA